CTGGATTTTAACCGCTTGTGGCACAGCGCTGTCCCCCTACCCTGCTAATCCCCCGCTCGGTGGCATCTGCCGGGTTTCTGGGGAAGGTGAGCAGAAATGGAGCAATCTGGGAGAACCTTGCGGGTCTGACCTAACTCCGTCTTCTTCTGGCTGATTTACCAGGTGGTGGAACCGCTGATTATTTTTTTCTTCCCCTCCACGAGTCTCCTCCGAGGTGTTTCTGTTTTGTCTGACATTGATTTAATAAAAGTTCAAGGCCGGGGATTTGGTGAGGGTTTTCACACGTGGATGGAGGGGCTCCACGTGTAGTTGGGAAAAAGCTTCTCCCGGCTGCAGATCCAGACCCTGGTAATCCTGCCCTGCCAGGAAACGCAGGTCATCCACTGGCAGCTCTCAATGCGCTCCTGGTGATCAGCGGGTTCGCGGGCAGCGGGGCAGTTTCCTCCTGGTGTTCTGGCACCGCGTCCAGGCCCTCGGCACTTTTGCTGGTCTGACTTCAGGCCGCGGCGTTTGGGAAGATCTGGAGGATTTCTCTGCCTTTCCTTAATCCCATGCTGGATCTTTGACCTCGGCGATGCGCGGAGGCTTAAACGCCTGGAGCGCCGGCTGCCCCGGCCTCCCGCCTCGGTGCTTTTATCAGATCAGTGTCAGATCGTTTGCCAGCAACGCACTTGTTGGGGCCGGGGCTACCTGGGGGCTTACTGAGATGTTTTTCTTTGCAAACCCGTTTCCCAGCCGCCGCTGGTGAAGACCCAGACTGTCACCATCTCGGACGTGCCCAACGCTGTGAAAAGCGAAATCCCCACGAAGGAAGTCCCCATCGTTCACACGGAGACCAAGACCATCACCTACGAGGCTGCTCAGGTAAGGTGTGTTACGATTCCGTGTCCAGGGCCTTCATCAAACTCAGCCAAACACAAGTGCATTTTGGTTTCTAAACCTTCAGGAGGGGACAGCGGTGCCAGGTGGCCCCATCTGCCTTTTTTGAACCTTCCAAGTCGCAGCACAAACAGTAACAAATGCTGGGGACGGGATTTGCAGGTGCAGCTGGTATTTCTAGAATAGCAGCGTTTATAATATCCCCAAAGCACAATTACCTTTGAGAGGCGTGTGTGCAAACATGATTTACATGCAGCTACTGGTAGCTTGGGGATATGGATTCAACCATGCAATGTTAACCTGGCTTGCAGCTATAAATTAAAATGTTATAGTGGAGCAGTACTGACATGTGCAGGTAAGGTCTCATTGCTGAGGTTAAAATTAATCTTTGATCTAGAATCAAGTTTTATTTACGTATTGGAGAATTTGCATAAAGCAGGGCTGGAAAGCAGGGTTTCACGGAGCCGGCGCGAGCCTCGCGCGGGCTCCTTGGGAGGATCCAGCTTGCTCGGGATGCCTGAAGGATCATCCGTCCTCAGCAAGCGGGTGCCCAGACTGTGCTCTTAATGTGCTCAAAAACTTCCTAACCGTAACCCGGAGGAGAACGCAGCACTGATCCCGTTTACCCGCTCCCGTCCGCGCTGCGTACGGAGATTGAGGGCCGCGTTTTGTCTCTCGCGCAGACGGATGGTGGCAACGGAGACCTGGACCCCGGCATCCTGCTGACGGCTCAGACCATCACCTCCGAAACCACGAGCAGCACCACGACCACGCAGATCACCAAGGTGCCGCCGCGCTCAGGCCGGCGCTCTGCCCCGTGCGGAGGCGCTGGGATGGCTGATTCCCCTCCTGCTTCTTAACCTTTCTTGGCTATTCTGAAGCAATTTCCAAGGTGGCCCTTGGAAATCCCCATCGCTGCAGCTTCACCTTGGCCTAGCACAGAGTCTAGGGCCTGCTCCCAAATAGTTGTTTAGTCTGAAAGAGAAATCCAAGGTTGCATGTGAACTAGAAGTGTGATTTCGTTCAGGATTATAATATAATCTTTAGTTCTCTAATTTTTGCCCATCAAGGTGTGGTAATTAGCAAATGTGGTTATGGGTTTGCTCTCAGAATGATTCCCCCGTGTATACAGAATGGGCTGGGGGAGGTGGGAGGTCAAGCCAAGCAATATAAGAAAGCTGAAGTCCCATAACCTTCAAAATGAAGTAGTTTGTAATGGAAATAAAGCCAGAAGGGCCCAGATTTGCCCATGGTGAATTAAGACCAACATCACTTTCCCCTTTGCCCAGACTGTGAAAGGAGGCATTTCGGAGACGCGGATTGAGAAGCGGATTGTCATCACGGGGGATGCGGATGTCGACCACGACCAGGTGAGCGTTTGGGTCCTGCCCAAAAGAGCCCCCTGGACCTGTCCCAGGCAGCAGCCCCGACGGAGATGCGATCGGAAAACGGCCTAGGGAATTCTGTTGGGCTAGAAGGAAAACCTCCTGCTTTTATGGAAAGTGTGATTCTGTTCACTGCTAATGTTTCATCTGCAGATGGTAGTCAGCCTCGGTGTAGGTTTATGTCTAAAAGAAGTGGCAGGGCGGTTACATTGGTTACATACTACTAATTTTCTGTGACTTTTCAACCTGCAAGTGCCTAATGGATTTCAGTAGTAAATTCCCTTTTCACAGTGTGCAGCTGTATAGCTGGGCCAGAGTAGCTTAATTCTCTCCTGACACTAGTATTAGCAACAAAGTCTGGATTCCAGAATTGGCTTGGACAAATCCAATTTTTGAAAAATATGCAAAAAAAAAAAGATATAAAAGTATTTGCTGACATCTGGATGACCTGCAATTAACTGTGAAGCAGTGTTGCTGCACTATCATGCCAGAAATCATTTCCTACCACTCAGCACAGCCAGCATATACCAGGAGGGCAGAAAGGAGGGCCCTGCAGCGAGTCCCACAGCTTTTATGTGAAAACCTTTCCAATGAGTCAGCCTCTCTGGCCTCTAGCTTGTGTGCTGGAAGGGATGGTTTTGTCATTGGAGAATCCTACTGCGAATTTCATTTTAGTTGTGGCCATCATGTGCCTGGGGTTTATTTGTGAGAGGAAAGCTGCCTTATTAATTCTGATGGAAAATGTCTGAGAAGACATTTGGAATGTGCTTGCCACACTTGCGGGAGCAAAGAGCAGGGTCTCCTCACGCTGCACAAGCCTAATTGCTCTCATCCATCTTTTGATTTTTGCTCTGAGCTCCGAGGAGCTCCCTGCTCCTTAGGGGGGACCCTCTGCTTCCCTGCAGCTGCAGCCGTTGCCCTTGGCCTTTGCTCTGCCCTGGGCACAGGGAGGCCCCTCCTGGCACCGGCTCTCAGACGGGCTCTTTGCAGGTCCTCGCACAGGCCATCAAGGCAGCCAAGGAGCAGCATCCGGACATGTCGGTGACCAAGGTGGTCGTGCACCAGGAGACGGAGATCGCCGAGGAGTAGCCGGGCTGCGTGAGTAGGGAGCGACGCGGTGCCCGGAGCGGGACTCGCCTCGGCACGGGCTGGTTCACGTGTGGGGGTGGAAGAAAAGGCCGCTCTGCGGGCTGGGGCTTTAACCCTCTGTTAAATCAAGGGGCCTCCACACCTAATTCAAGGTGACACTTGGTCTAACGGTCTGAGGACTTGCAACACTTGGATCTTAGGCTGGAAACTGGCCCTTTAGGGAAAGGAAGAGTGTTTGAGTTAGGACAGCAGCTCTGAGCCTCGGGTCCTGTGTGCCAGAACCCAAAGCTCGTCTTCCCTTTCCATTTTTCAGATGATGCTGAGGATAAGGGAAGCGGTTTCCTCTCCTTCATTGAAGGTCAGTGCTTATAGCGTGGCCTCTTCCTCTCTCTCCAGGACATGTTCCTTCCAGACAGAGCACGGCGGGGAAAGAAACCCAGCAAACCTACAAGAAACTACCTGGAGCACAAAGACCTCAACCTTACCGGGCGTGCGCGCAGACGCTGCACAGTCAGAACAGTCATATCACGTAGTGGGAGTCGCGCTTTGACATTTTACTTGGGATTTTCCAGACTCCAATGGATCCTCTTGGATATAGTTTTTTGTTGTTTTTTTATATCTATATATATTGTGACAAACAGTATGCCATATTTCTAACTGTACTGAACATTTTTTACAGGTTTTCAATTTTGCATTCCCTCTCCCGCAATAGCCTCCACAGCTACAGGAGGGCTCTAAAGCGTTGGATTTTTTCTCCTTTTTTAAGTCTTTCCCCCCGCCTCGTCAGGCGCAGCGGAGCGCGGCCGCCCGCGCACGCGCGCGGAGCGCGGACGTTGCACGACCGCCGGGTCCTTCTGCCAGCAGAGACGTTTTAAAGAGTCAGCCTTGAGTTTGTGCCGCGTTTTTTGCCCCTCGCTTGTTTTAGGACCCTGGCAGCTCCGGGGGCGCCTCCCGCAGGCTGAATTTCCTCGGGGTTTCGGCCCGGCGCTGTTTGATCGCAGTAGGGTTGGGTGGCCCAAGAGTATCCCCCCATCTCCATAGTTGACTTAGGTTTAAGGACTACTGGAAGTTGCTTCGAGTATCTGATACTGTGAATTGTAGAGCTTTAAGAGAGCTGTGCTCGGGGCCCTCGCCCTCCTCCGCGCAGATCTGCTCCCTCCCCGCTCGTGTTTCCTAGATGCCATTAAGTTAAAGCACCCTTAGAAGTGTGTGTTTGAGATGTGTTGACTCTGGATGCTATTAAGGCTTATGCAGCATTCACAGTTACTGTTTTTTTTTCAGTGTCATAGTTTTTCCACTTGTTTGTGTTCTTGGTTTTTAAATAAGGTTTTTTAAGTCCCTTTTTCCCCCCCTCCTTCCTCTCAGTGCTATTTAAAGCTGAACACGTTACCCACATATCAGGACAAAGGTGTTGCAACCTACTCTGCTTTAGTGTAGAGCCCCTTTAGACAGTCCCTCGGGGACGTGGAGGCCGCTCCGGGGCGGCCGGCGCAAGGCCATGGTCGGTGGCGGGTTCTGCTCGCCGCGATGGACTCGGCTCCTTGCTGCCTGTTTTGGCTTGGTGGCCACCACGCTGGGATGAAAGACCAGGGCTGGAGCAGCTGCAGCTTCAGGCTTAGCTTCCAGACCACCTAAAAACGACTTTTTAACAGCACCTCATGCACCACTTGCTTGTGCAATTGCAGCGACTGGAGTGTCTGCAAGTTTATGGCTTCCTCTTGCAATCACTTTTCAAGCATCTTTGAAGATGAGCCTGCAGCTGGGTGGAGAGGACCCTAAAACACCCATTTTCCCCATTGCATCGTGACTTGGGTTCTCCTGCTCCTCCTCCTCTTCCTCACTGCTGCTGCTGGAGTTCTGCTCGTGTCCTGGTTTCTCCTCCCAGCAGGTTGCGCTTTATTTTTTGTTTCTTTGGGGTTCCTTTTTTTTAAAAAAAAATAATAGCTGTGTGGAGAGTCTGCGCCAGCCCCTGGGGACACCCCAGCAGGGCTTTGGGCTGTGGTTTGTCCTGGTGTGACACGCAGGCGGCCGGCGGAGCCCTCCAGGGCACCCGGCAGGCGGCACTAGGAGTTTTCTGCGAGTTTTTAGGTGTGGGTAGCGTGTTCCGGAGCCCGCCGGGCTCAGCTCCAGCTGCAAAAAAAAATCGGGTGGGCCCCAGCTCCTGGCAGGCGCATCCTCAGCATCCCGGGCTGCTTCTTGGCATCAGGGCAGAGCTCAGGTGCCCCAGCTACGTCCCAAGAGCCCGTCCCTCCCCTCGGCCGATCCCTAGCGCGCGGGAGCCTCCGCTCGCCGCCTTGGGCCTCCTCGGGTGGCGCTTGCCTTAACCGACCGTCGCGCCGGGCACCTGCCCCGTGACCTCCTGCGCCCGCCGTTATTTTTTGCCACTTGCTTCTTCCTTGTGTTCTCGCCCTGTAGCAGCTGATCCAGCTGAAGGCGGGCCTGCAGAGCGGTTGTTTCGGAGGATTTATTTTACCTGTAGCAGATCATTGCCCTAATGTGATGTATTAAGTTTCTCCGTAGCACTTAGAGGTGCTTGGCAGCCCCGAGACGGAGGGGAGCGCGATGCTCCCGTAGCGCGATGCTCCCAGTGCCCTCGGGTATCCCAGGGACCGAGTGCGTTGGAAAGAGCCAAACATCTCCCTCAGCAGATACATAAATGTCCTAGGGCTCGGAAGCCTGTTGGCCTGAGAGTTGGTTCCTTCTTAAGGGATCCTAGAATAACGTAATCCTAATATCTATTACTTTTTCGGCTGGATTTTGGATGACCATCTCCATGTCTCGCTTCATTTCTTGCTTTTATTTAAGCAACTCAGAGCGCAGTCGCTCCCTGGGGCGATTCCTCCCCATCCCGTAGCTTTCCCCACATCCGCCCGCACAGGAGGGATTTCCAGCCTTCCGGAGCCTCTCCGGCAGCCAGGGCTGCGTACGCGGAGCTGGAAAAACACGCGGCAGCCTGGGAAGAAGATGGAAGAGCTTCCTGCAGCACCAGCCTCCAAGCCCCTACGTAGCTTCCTGCACCCGCCCGCGCCCTCCCTCCTGCCCAAACCCGGCTCCCAGCGCGTTACCTATTCCTGGAGGCAAAGCGACTCTAAAGGTCTATTTATATGAATGTTCCCAGCTCTTCCCAGTCCACAAATTCACCTAGAGACTCTCTCGATTGTATAATAGACATTATATGGAAGCTATTTATATATGAATGAATGTTTTTATAGAGAGGGAGGCAAGGAGCTCGTGGTGCAGGAAGCGCCGAGCATCAGCGCTGCGTTAGCGAGGGACGGGCTGGTTTCTGCTTTCCATAAACTGTGGTTTGCCGATTTCCTAACTGTACAATGCCCTTAGGAGGTGGTAGTGGCCCCGACCTTAGAGATTCAACTTGTATTTAATTAAAAAAAAAAAAAAAAAGGTTTTTTTAGGTGAGAATACGAAGGAGCTTTGTAAAAATTTTTTAAGGCAATTGTGATCTGTCTAGGTTAGCCGTTTCCACTCTTTATAAAAATAGGAACTTTTCAAGACAGAAGAATTGGCAAATCTTTATAGACCGATTAGCGAGCGGCGGGAGCTGGTCTTTTGGACTTCCATAGCAAAGCAAAGGGAAAGTTGCTGTAGCAGTTAGACAGACATAAGTGTTCTGTATTGCTTCCTGTATTGCATTTTTCCAATAAATTTTCAAATAAAACCCATCGTCCTGGCTCAAAAGCCTCTCATTCCATGCTGGCCACCAACCCACTGGGGAGAAGCTGCCCCAAAGCACCCGTGTCGGGAAGCGCAGGATTTATTTAGTGGCCGTATTCAAGGCACATGAGTCCCGGCTCCGTCGGAGCAGAGGGATGGGGGCGTGGGATCCGTGGGCTGCGCACGGAGATGCCCCAAACGTGCCCTGCATCCCCTGTGCCACCCGCAGAGCATCCTGCCCTCAGCAGCACCAGCGCCCTGGCCCGGCGCTCGCGGCAATGAGCCGGCCCCAGCGGGACCAACTGCCACCTCCGAGCCGGGACCGAGACCCCCTTCCCTTTTCCGCCTCCAAAACCACAGCACTGGGAGAAGGCTCCGCTGGATCCATTTTTCCCAGCCGGCCACACCGAGCACGATGCGTCGCCTCTGCCAGGCCTCCCCACGTCACCCTCCGGGGCTGGCAGCTCCGCTGGAGAAGAACAAGGTACATCTACAGCGCTGACAACATTTAATCAGCGGCGGCAACGCAGGCCAAGCGCCCCGACCTCCGGGGCAAAGACAGGCTGTTCCGGCGGCGCGCGGCCGCCTTGGCTCACGCGCCGGCACAGGGAGCGCTTTGGATCTCTGCCCCTCGAGCAGCGGCTCCATCCCGCCCGGCACAGCGCCCGTGCACGGAGATTCACAGCTTTGCCCGGGCGTCTGGGGAGCTTCGTGCCCCTCACTGCTGCCCTTTGCTGCTTTCCCCATGTGGTTCCCAAAAACAAAGCGTTTTTTCCCTCTCACTCCATTCTTTTCCCTCTCGCTCCATGTGGCCAGTTTGGACCTTTGGATGCTGGGTGTCAGCAGAGAGGGACATTTTCTATCCTCCAGCATAGACAGATGGCCAAAAAAAAATCCCCATTCTGCTGCGGGGTCGATGTCAAGCTGCAACCTTGCTGCAATCAAGTGCAAACTGCCCTGGGCCTGGGCTGCTTTCTGAGCAGGATGAGGGAGAAAAGTGGCACTGTGCAAGGTTTGGCATCGCCTTTTATGCCAGGAAAAGGGGGGATTTGCATGGAGGAGGCAGGTTTGGCCCCGGGATGTGCTGCTGGATGTGACAGGACTTTCCCCCTGCAAAACGCTCTGGTCTTGTTGAAGACGCTCGCTGCATCGGCCCTGGGAAACGGCACAGCAGCTCCTGTTCCTGTTTGAGAGACAGGGTAGAAATGCAATGGAAAAAAAGGAAAAAAAAGAAACATGCCAAGTTGTCAAACTTGAGGAAAACATGTTGTGGAAAACACTGATTCTTCTAAAAACAGTGCAGAGCACTTTTGTTTCTTGTGGGCTTTTGAATCCGACTTCCCAGTGACGGAGCCAAGAGCAGTAATGACCGAGGGCTGGGGAGGCCGGGGAGCAGCCCCGGCTCCGTGCCCTGGCTGCGGCTCCCGCGGGTGTCCCGGCTGGAGCACCCAGACTCGGCGAAACGCTGGCTGGGAGGATGCCCTGCGGCAGGACACAGCCGGCCCACAAGGAGCCAGCGCCTCTGCTCTCCTAGAAGCTAAACGGGGAAGTTTACTTAAACGTCCCCCAGACTTTCCTACTCGGCACTTCAGCGTTTCTCGGAGCGCTGCAGGACACGGTAAGTAGCGCGTCCCCACTGCACCCGCAACCCCAAGGAGCGCTCGCCCTGTTTATTCGAAGAGAAGTTTCTCACTTGGCAGCATGTCAAGGCACAAGCCAAGCCTGAGGCCAGGGAGGCTCTTGGGGCATCTAACCCGGTTATGTCCCCGTAAAGGGCTCCTGTGGGCCTTGCTCTGCGGGCAGATGCTCTTCACTAAGGGGGACTTCGGTGACATGAGTGCTACACAAGAGCAAGGACGTGGGGAGGGGACAGGTTGTCCCTCTGATGCACAGCCCCAAGCAGGTCCTCAGTCCATGACACACCTGCACACAGTGCCCAACCTGAGCATCCCAGGGACCAGCTTCTCACAGGCACCTTGCTGGAGAAGTGCAGGATACCAAGAGACATAACCTGCTCTGTGGTGACTCATGGGGACAGTGGCACCTTCCTAAGCCCTAAGATGTAGCGAGGAAGAGCAGGAAGGAAACTCAAGTCCCTTCAGCTGCGGTGGCCCCAGGTGACAGGCTCCCCAGAGCTGCCAGTCGCTGAGCAGCAGGCTGTGTGCCCACCTGCATCTCCCCAGCAAGAACAAGCCTTGTGCTCACCAGTGCCCAGCTGCTCCTCCAGGTGTGCAGAGAGGGGTCAGGTAGTGCCCTTACCCATTGACTACACTTCACAAGCAGCTCCAGCTCTCTGGAAAGAGCTGAGACCTCTGGGTTATCTTCCCAACCTGAACCCGGATGGAGGCAGCTGGGCCTTGGAGAGCTACAAAACCTAGGGCTCTGGTTCAGGTTCTGCTTAGCCGAACTGGGAAAAGCAGGAAGGGAAAGGGTGAAGGGTGTGTAGCGTGTGAGCCAAGGCGACGGTCAACGAGCAGAGGAAAACCAGCTGTGCCCACATGCCAGCAGCTGTAGCTGGGGCTCTCCTTAAACCATGACGCTTAAGACCAAGTGATGTGTCTTGATAACACTGCTGTGCCGGGCAGCACCAATCTCTGTCCCTCCCTGGGCAACAGGCACTAGAAGATGGTGTCACTTGACCCGTGACGAATGCTCGCACCCCGAACCATGCTCCCCAAAGAGGTCTTTATGGAAACGTAACCCACACTGACCTTCTTGCCTTCTCAATAAGGACTTTACGGGGCACAGTGGCTTTGCAAGCTAGGGGCACGACAGATTTGTACCTGGATCTGAGACCAATATAGACACTTTAAAGAGAGGAGAAACTTTTTTTCAAGGGTTGGAAATCGGTCACAATTAAATCATGGCTTTTCTCCAGGAAAGGAAAAAAAAAACACCTCTCCACATCCATCTTTAACGCACACATTTCCATGTGCTTCCAGGCTAAATTCAGAGCTGGCAGTCACTGGGAGACACTCCAGTGAGCCAACACAAGCAGGGACATTGCGCTGGCGTCCTTGTGTTAGACAAAGCTTGGGCAATGTGTCTGATCACAGCAAACGGAGGCCTCACTGTTCTCAACCTTGTGCTTATTCCTGGGATCCCACCAGCAGCAAAGCGACCTCCAGAAAAGCGACTTTCTGGTGGCAACATGCATGGAAACCAGCTGCTCTTGGCACAACTCCCCATCCCGAGCAGCCTTAAGGCAGAACTACAAGCCAAGTCGTACCTTGTGGCATTCAGATAACATTTAATAGCCCCATCAGGCTCACGTGCTCTGGGCAAGCAAATTTGGCGGTAGGCTGTGTGAGGGGGCCCACCTCAAGCCTCCCCACCACCCACTTTGGCCCCACTGAAATAAAGTGCCATCAGGGCCACCAGGACATCCCTCGCCCTGGTCCCCGTCTCAGCTCGGGGTCAGGTTCAAGTGAGGTTTCTTCCATGAAAGACACTGGGACCAGGGCTAGTAAGGCAAGGCCGAGGGCATCCACCGAGGACCCGGTCAAGGAATGGGCAGCCTCTGGGGAGACAGGGACATCCCCCTTGTGTGGAGTCTTGCGAGTTGGGACCTCCCTCCAGCACCGCAACATCCACTTGAAGGAAGAGCCACCCCAACCCCGTCCCCAAAGGGATGCGGGCAGGAGGGCAGGCGGGAGGAAGCCGGTGTCGGCGGTCAGACCCGCGAGCCCCGCTCCGTTCCCACCTCCCATGAGCCGGGCCTGGCCTCCTGCCTGCCTCGCTGCTCTAGCAGCATGTCTGAGGACTCGCCCGTGTTCCCCAGTTTGGCATAAGCCACCAGGCTGAGGTGATCGAGCCGAGGCCAGCTCCGGTTTTTGCGGTCTTTGATGGGAGCCACCAGCAGCACCCCAGGCCGGCCCAGGTCCAGGGACTTGGAGTGTCCTGGGTTGTGGAGCTGCGGGTCCGAGCTGAGCTCCTCCTCGGTATCCTGAGAGGGCAGGGGTGTCTCCACAGTGGGGGTGACGGGGCAGACGCCCTCCATGCTGATGACAACATGGTTGTCCTGGTGCTCCTGCCCTCTTGGCAATGTGCTGCTGCTGTGGGAGAGGAGGGCCCAAGATGGCCTCTGCGCCTCGGCGGCGCAGGGTGTTGACAGCAGAGGAAAGGAGGGACTCGGCCCCGGGGCTGAAGGAAAGGTTGAGGTTGCCCTCGGCCGAGTTGCCCGAGCGGACGCTGAGGAGAGAGGCAGAGGGCGACGCGCCATTGTGGTGCAGGAGCTGGGCTGTGGTCTGGAGCCGCTTGGCTCTGTAGCACTCGGACCATTTGCTGCCGGCGCACATCTGGAAGGCCCGGGAGGCGAGGTCCACCTCGTAGCAGCCCTCCACGCCGTCCGCGGGCACCGCCTGGCTTGTCCTCGTCTCACAGTACTTGTCCTCGGCACCGGGCTCTGCAGGGAGGCCCGCGGCCATGCCGTAGAGACCCTTCTGCATGAGCAGGCGGGTCTCCATGTCCCTGTTCTCATAGAGCATGGTGTTGGCACAGATGAAGATGAACAGGCCAATGCCCATGATGACAGGGCCAATGAGTTTGAGCTTCTCGCTATGTGGGAAGTGGCGATTGTGAGCCACCTCCTTCCTCACCTCCCCAGGGCTGCTGGCATTCCCCGAGCCAGCCCCGGCCCGGTGAGGCCAGTAGCCCACCACGGCAATCGTCATGCCCACCAAGACGACGGAGATGCCCACCATGACGAAGACACCTGAGGGCGAGCGCATGCGGAGCTGCGCTTTCACAGTCACCTCTGGCGGGGACTTGCGCCTCCGGCGGCGCCCGCGGCGCCGTGATGGGGCCGCTGCAGCCAGCGCCTTGTTCTCCGCAGCCTCCTGGCTCCTCATGGGGCCATTGGCTTCGGCGTTCTCGGCAGTCATCGCCTCCGCTTCACCGCCTCTTCCTGCAGCGTGGAGAGTGGGGAGAACGGAAGGAGAGAAAGAAGAAGGGTCATCACTAGCAGGTCTGGAGGTCCATGCCCGGCACAGTGTTGGCATCAGGGGAGCAAAGTAAAGGGTCCGAAATGGGTCACGGAGACCTAGGATGCATGCAGAAGGGCTGGTCAGGCTCTGACCATGCAAGGACTCGCGATCACCATGCCCACCGCGACAACGGCACTGGAGACCTGCCCGCCTGGACCATCCCCAAGCCCCGCACAGGGTGATGGATGGGGATGTGGTCAGACAGAAGAACTGCAGCATGGACCTGGTCCAAAGCAGGTCACCGTACTGCTAAACCCCTGCGATTCGGTGACTAAAAGCCATAAAAAATGGATGTGATTAGAAAGCAAACGGCACGCAAGGCCAGCAAAGACAGGACCAGTGACCCGTCCGATTCTGCTCCCGGAGATGAACAAAGCACCAAGAGCCGGCAAACAGGAGGAAAACGAGACACTAAGGGTTTTCTCACAGGCTTAATCATCTTAAGGTGTTATTAGCATTCCCAGGAAGGAATTATTAAAGACATGAGTTTCAGGGTGACAGTGTGTTCCTGGCACAGGGCGTTCAAGCCAAGGCAAGCCAACTGAGGAAGATCAATAAAATCAATAAATAAAGAGTGTCCCCCTCAAAAAAAAAAAAAAGAAAGAAAGAGCAAACCTCTGGGTGCAGTTTCACAAGTTTCTTTGGACCAAGGTGAGAATACTGCACTGCAAGGGTGCAAGGGCAAGGTTAGGATAAACCCCACTCTAGAAGCACCCTAATGCGATGGTCACTCTTGAGTTAAAACCTGAGATTTATTTTGTTTGGCAAAACATTTTGCTTCTAAGGGAAACGAGGGGGCAAGCTAACACTTCCTAAAGGCTGAATTTCTTTCCCCTCCAAATACCCTTATTTAGAGGTCGTTCCCAGCTTTTCTTCATTACCATCTCCGATTCAAGCTAAATGTTATATTAAACCCCTTAAATGCTGTGCTGGCAACTTAGGCAGTGAAAAGTAAGAAGAATCCCAAAGCCCCAGGTATTTTACGAGGGCTCTTGGATGCCTTTTACAGGAGGGTGAAGATAGGAACCCCTCCGGGATGCACATAGGGCCCCTTCCCCGAAGCTGTGATGAACACGCAAGATCAACAGGTCCTATTTTGGGCCACAAGCCTCCGCGGTGCCTCTTTAAACCTAATTCCATGCCTATCTCCTTCAGCTTCCCCTAAGCCCCCGGCTCCCCCCGCGGAGCCGCACGGCCGCCAGCTGCTTCCCGAGGCCGTTCCCGCTCTAACAGCGCGGGCATCGCCCCGCCGTGTCCCCACGGGCCATTGGCTGTGGCCCGCGGGTCACCTGGCTCGTGCCCGTTCTTCCCACGCTCTGCAGGAAGATGTGTATTTTTTCCATGAGGTCAAGAGCGCTACTCTGGGAAGCGGGGATTATTAAAAACTGCCGTGGCAGAAGGGAAGGAGGGACTGCGCCGAGGATGCAGCCCCTGCAGTGG